CTGCAGAGCCACCAGCAGCAGATACAGGTGGGCAGGGAGGGCTGGGGACACACCTCTGGGCTGCTAGGGCTGTGCCAGGCAGCCCCAGGTGTCCCCACGGGTGCTTCGGGACCAGCAGCGCCTGGCAGAGGAGCAGAGGGAGGCCCCGGACCACCGGCACCAGGTGCTGCAGCAGAAGGTGCTCCAGGATGCCACGGAGCTCGCCACACACAGCCAGGAGCTGCGGGAGGCCAGACGGCTGGGCTCAGCCGATGCCGCCACACACACACCCTGAGCCACCATCCCAAGGTGGTGGGCACTGCCCTGACAGCAGGCAGGCAGGACAGGGCCCCTGCTGACCCCTGCCACCTCCAACTCCCCTCCCTGCAGCGAGCCACCAGCCCTGATGCCAGGGGAGCAGCCAGCCCCAGCGGTTTCCTTCCGTTCACCAGCTCTGGTTGCTGAGAGCTGCTCCCTGCAGAAACCTGGCCCCAGGGAGGGTGCGTCTGGCAGAGGAGGGAGCACGTCGCCCCCTTGGCCCCATGGGGAAAACCCCGCTCTGCCGCTGGACACCTGCCTGCATGAGTACAACTTGGGCACAGCCCTGAACAGGAGCAGAGCAGGTACGGGGGGAGGGCTGGTGGCCCCGGGCTGCTGCCCCGTGGAATAAAGCAGATGCCCCTTCACCCATGAGTGTTGTCAGGCTCAGACATGCCCCTGCCCCCCAAACCTTTGCCAAGAGAAAGAAATTCCTTCCTGCAGGGAGGACAAACTCACGCATGCTGTTGAACTGCAACTTTAATAACCCTGGTCAGAGTCAGCAGTGGCTTCTGCCTGCCAGCAACTTGCTAGCCACAGCATTGGTACAAATTTGGGTCCAGTCTCCCTTTCAGGGAGCGGGCAAAGCAGTCCCTGCACCCCCCTGCTCCCCATCTGCTCTGCGCGGAGCAGCGGCATCGTGACCGAAAAGGGAAACAGGGCCCAAGGACTGCAGCCCTTCAGCCAGGGAATGCGGCAAGGGGTGGGCAGGGAAACCGCGGAGGTGGTAGGGACACCCCCAGATGCGGTGTAGGGCTCTCCAGGCAGCAGCACCCAGCTTCCTGCAGACAGCTGGGGGAACCACCATCCATGGGGGCTGAAACAGCGTCACAGCGACGCTGGCCTGGCAGCGGCCGGGCAGCAGCACAGCAGAGGTCACTGCTGCAGGAGCATCTCCCGGCACAATATGGGTGCGCTGAGTCGGGAAGACGAGGGAAGCGGGACACCATCCCCCATGTGAACAAAGGGCTCAGGACCCACCCTCGAGGCTGGGCACACCTGCTGCAAAGGAACCCTGTAGCACAGAGCCCAGCCCAGGCTCCCTGCAAACAGGGACAGGGCACTGTCCCCCGCAGCACTCCTCCTCGGGGGCCCCTCGCATGTGCCGACCAGCACCGACTCCCCAGAAACACCAGAGCGGGGAGGCAGATGGCCAGAGCACCGCTGTGCTCCTAACACCAGCCCCAGCCACCCCTGAGGAACACCTAAAGGCGGCCCCGGCACATGCGGGGCAGGAAGGCAACAGCTACGTGAGCCCATAGTACAAGTGAACAGCCAGGCCGATGCACGAGATGGCGATGAAGAAGAGGAGGGTGAGCTGCAGGTTGAACAGGGCGACAGAGAGGAGGGCGTTGACGAGGATAGAGCAGGAGATGACAAAGAGCCTGGTGATGTTACTGCTGTGCTTCATGACCACAGACATGATCAAGCCATTCAAGGCCTGGCTGACCACAATCACCAGCACCCAGGAGGAAAAGCCCTCCAAGAAACCACCCTCCATGCTGCTCCAGAAGTAGCCGATCAAGTTGAGCAGGACCCCAAAGAAGTAAAGGAAGAGGTTCTGAAGGCTGAGAGGCAACGCCTGGGTTTTCAGGATGGCTTCCGTGTAGACAGCAGACAAGCCTGATATCAGGCAGTACACAGAGATCAGCAACAAGCCCACGAGCGTGATGTGCAGCTGCATCTTGGAGGGGCTGCCAGGGTCCTGCAGGCCACCGCAGCTGTAGCTCCCCCCAGCAGCCACCAGCAGGAAGAGAGCCAGCCATTTGCGCGCGCTGAGTCTTTGGCGCAGGAAGAGACTGTAGAGGAGCGCGGTGCTGACGATCTTCAAGTTACTCAGGACCTGGTAGGTGCTGGGATCCATGAAGAGCTGCATGTGAACCACCAGGTTGTTGTTGGCAGCATAGAGCAAAGCAGACAGGGCAAAGGGGACAACGTGACGCCACGACACGGCGACTCCCAGCAGCTCCCGGTCCCAGGCCAGCAGGAAAAGGAAGGAGAACACCAGTTTTGTCAGCTCAACAAGAACCACAACTGATGTGGAGCTGAAGGGGATCGTTCCGTCCACCTTGCAGAGGGTCAGCAGGGGAGCATGCGAGCCGTATATGACTACGGACAAGACCAGCATCAGTCCCCACAGCCCCCTCCGGAGCACCCGGGTGGCAGAGCCAGCAGCGTTAGCAAACATCACCATTTTCAGCCAGTAGCCAGCACGGGTAAGCTGCTATCAGTGCAGACAGGCCAAACAGACTTGCACCCTAGGACATTCAAGAAGAGACCAAATACCATTAATTTAATGAACCTGATTAAAACAGGATGTTACCTGCTACATTTCTGAGGCAGTGAAACAGAATGCTTTTGTCTTTCGTTAGGAAAAGAACTACAAGCCTCCCCATGAAGGCACACAAGGCACGTTCCTAGGGCAAACCGTGCACTTGGTGGAATGGCGTACAGGTGGCGAAGGTGATGACACATCACAGGCAGCCTTTTGGTGTGC